CACAGACAGCAAGATAATTCATAAGGTGTGCAGCGGGGTGGTGGTAGTGATGGAACAGTTCAGGGGTACAGCATGTACTTACCATGCATGAGGACCAGGGATCAACTCCCAGTACCCTCATCCCCAAAGGAAGATAATTCAAAGACTTAATAAATTTATGGGAAGTGGCATCTGGGAGACAAAGTGATCACTATCTTTGGGTGACTATGGTACCTTAAGTTGCCTTAGGTTGACTTAGAGCTAGGATGATTGGTCACAGAATGATTAAACCACCTCCTATATTACAATTAATAGTAAACTTTGCTTGCTATTCCTTGAGCCTTGATGTGACCTTAGAACATGCAATTCAGCCAGTTCCAGTGATGTATGCCTTTAATCCCAGCTACCTGAGAGGCTGAGGCAGGAATAAATTGCTCAAGGTCAACCTGGGCAATTTAACAAAGTCCTGTCTCAAAATAAAATTAAAAAGGTCTGGGAATGACTGGGCATGGTGGTGCATTCTCATGATCCCAGCTGAGGCGGGAGGAGTGCAAGTTCAAGGCCAACCTGGGCAACTTATAGAGATTCTGTCTCAAAATAAAAAATAAGGGCTGGGATTTGACCCAGCTATCCCACTCCTCAGTTTATACCCAAAGGACTTAAAATCAGCATACTTCAGGGACACCATATCAATGTTTATAGCAGCACAATTCACAATAGCTAAATTATGCAATCAATCTAGATGCCCTTCAGTAGATGAATGGATAGGGAAACTTTGGCACATATACACAATGGAACATTACTCTGCATTAAAAGAGAATAAAATCATGGCATTTGCAGTAAGTAAATGAAGTTGGAGAATATAATGCTAAGTGAAGCAAGCCAATCCCAAAAAACCAAAGACCAAATGTATTCTTTGATATGAGGATGCTGACTCATAATGGCGATGGGGCGGGCATGGGAGGAATAGAGAAACTTTAGATAGGGCAAAGCAGGGAGGGAGGGGAAAGAAAGGGGCTAGTGGGTAGAAAAGACGGTGAAATGAGTTAGACATCTTTACCCTAAGTACATGTATGAAGACTTGAATGGTATGAAAATACTTTGTGTACAGTGACTTGAAAAATTGTGCTTTATATGTATAATATGAAATGAATTGCATTCTGCTATCATGTATAACAAATTAGAATAAACAAATAATTTTAAAAATAAATAAATAAAATAAAAAATAGGACTGTGGATGTGGCTCAGTGGTCAAGTGCTCCTAAGTTCAATTCCCAGTTCATTCCTCCCCAAAAAAGTCTTCAGATTCTTGCTTTTTTTTTTTTAAAGAACATATTCTTTTAAAGAGTGAGAGGGAGAGAATTTTAATATTTATTTTTTATTTTTTGGCGGACACAACATCTTTGTTTGTATGTGGTGCTGAGGATCGAACCCAGGCCGCACGCATGCCAGGCGAGCGCACTACCGCTTGAGCCACATCCCCAGCCCCAGATTCTTGCTTTTTAACACAGGAAATTTCAACTAGATGCACACAAATTTAGTTAACCATTGTTTTATTTTTTTACATTTAGGTTATTTCTCAGGTTTTGTTATTAGAAATAATGTCATGAATATCATTGTCTCTAAGTGTTCTATATTTAAAGCAAAGATAAAATTTTGTGTTACACTTTATACATTCATATGTCTTTTAATCTACTGATATTTTCAATTGGTGTTACATTTATTGAAATGAAATTGTGAATTAATTTCTGAAATCTGACTTGTGTCGTACGTTAAAGGTCATTTTAAGTCAGAAAAAAAATAAGGGCTGGGGCTGTAGCTCAGTGGCAGAGTGCTTGCCTAGCACATGTGAGGTACTGTGTTCAATATTTAGTACCACATTAAAAAATAAATGAATAAAATAAAGGCATGCTATCTATCTACATAAATAAATAAATAGGATTGGGAATGTAGCTCAGAGTGCTTGCCTAGCATCCCACTCTACCCCCTCTAAAAAGGAAAATTTACCAACAATTGCGGGTAGTCCTCTGAGAGGGATGAAATCTATTTATCACCCCCTACTTATTATGGCTTATTAAGAGGCAATGGGCTTTTAGTTACAGCTAAAAGCAGCAAATAACAAAAGATTCTAGGAGAACTCTCTCCTAGAATAATAACCTACCCATGGAGACAATGGTTAGGCAATATATTCTAATGGGTAGGGTAGCTTACAAGAATAAACCAGAGAGTTGGCCACATTAAGGCTACCAAGCCTTGGTACTTCTATTTGTTCTGTGAATCCATATTGTTGATAGTGTCAAGAAGTTCAAATTTTTATTCAATGAAAAAGGCATTAAAAAAGCAAACATAAGGGCACTGATGATATGATACTAAAAGTTGTCTACTTACGATATGTATAAAAGAAAATCAAATGGAAATTCTGAAGTTAAAAGTCTAATATATTAAATGAAAAATTAATTAGAGGAGCTCAACAGAATATAAAAGTGGCAGAAGAATCAGTGAACTTCAAGATAGATCAACAGAAATATCAAATATAAGAACAAGGAGAAAAAAGACTGAAGAATAATGAACAAAGCTTCAGAGATTATGGGGAAGAATCAAATACACTAATACATGCATAAGGAGAATGCCAGAAGGAGGGAAGAGAAAGAAAGGGGTTAAAATTAAAAAAAAAAAAAAAAGTCTGTAAACTCCCTATATTTCATGAAAAACAACCAACATATCCAAAAATCTCAAGGAACCCAAAGTAGGATAAAAACTAAGAGATCTATACCTAAATACATCATAGTCAAACTGTCAAGAGATAAAAGAAAATCTTGAAAGCAGCAAAAGACAAATAATTCATTTATACTAAAATAATTCAATTCATAATTTAACTTCTCTTCTGAAAGAATGAAGGATAGAAGGCAACAGAAGGATATGGAAAGCGGTGAAAAAGAACAAAATTATTAATCAAGAACTCCATATCCAATGTAACTTTTAAATATTACAATAAGGGCAAGAAGCCAGACGCAAAGGCCACTGTTATGGTTTGAATCTTAAATGTCCCCCCAAAGCTCATGTGCTGAAGGCATGGTCCCCAGTAGATGGTGCTACTGGGAGGTGGAAGAAACTTTTAAGATGTGGAGTCTAGTTGGAGGAAGTAGGTGATCGGGGTGTGTTCCCTTAAAGAGTATACTGGGACCCTGGCCCATTCCTGTCTTTCTTTTGCTTCCTGGCTGCCATGGGGTGACAGCTTTTCTCTACGTACTCCCTATCTTGACATTCTGCCCTGCCACAGGCCCAAAGAAATGTGGTCAAGCACCCATGGACTGAAAACTCTGAAACCAAAACTAGGAACTGAAACAAACCTTTCCTCCTTTTAAGTTGTTTATCTCAAGTTTTTGTCATAGTGATGAAAGCTAACAGAGCCATGTATCATACAATTTTATTTACATGAAATATCCAGAATAAGCAAGTCCATAGAGATAGAAAGAAGATAAGTTGCCAGGGGTGACTGTTTCTGGGTACAGGTTTCCTCCTAGGGTAATGAAAATGCTCTTGAGATAAGACAGTAGTGATAGGTGTATAACTCTATAAATACACAATCATGTATCACATAATAGCAGAGATACTTTCTGAGAAAGTCACTGTTAGGCAATCTTGTTACATGAACATCATATAGTTATACAGGCCTAGAGGGTATGGGTTAATACTTGATGCGATCTCTAGATGCAATCAAGAAGTGTGGTAAAAAGATCATGAGGCTGCTACTGGTTCAACATGGCATACTGTTTTAGTTTTTTTTTTCCCTTCTCTTTTTGATATTGGGGATTGAACCCAGAGGCACTTCATTACTGAACTACATCCCTAATTCTTTTTATTTTGAGATAGGGTCTTGCTTAGTTGCTGAGCCTGGCCCTAAACTTGCAATAGGGGTGAACCACTGTGTCCAACTACAGTAAGTTTTTATTTATTTTGGGGGATGCTGGGATTGAACTGGGGATTACAAGCTGCCAGGCAAGCATTCTACCATTAAATCAAATAGTAATTTTTTTAAAGTATTTTTTTAGTTGTAGATGGACACAATGTCTTTATTTATTTTTATGGAACCCAGGATGGAACCCAGTGTCTCACACATGCGAGGCAGGTGCTTTACAACTGAGCTATAGCACCAGCCCCAAATAGTAAGTTTTTTAAAAATAAGAACTTACAATAAAATGTGAGTATAGTAAATAAAGAATCTGTAATGTAGTTGTTTATTATCAAATATTATAATAATTTACATAAGGTAGTGAGACTCTGCCTCAAAAAAAAAAAAAAAAAAGGGCTGGGGATGTATCTCAGTGGTAAAGCACCCCTGGGTTTAATCCCCAATATTAGAAAAACAAAACAAACAAAATAATATACAGAATAGAGGTATATTAGAGAAATATTTTTATATTTTGCGAGAATTAAGTCAGCATTAATTTGAAGTACACTGGGATGGGTCAAGATCCATATTGCAATCACTAGAGTATCATTTAAAAACTAAAAGATAAAAAAGTTGAAAAAAATCAACAGAGGAGGGGCTGGGGTTGTGGCTCAGCAGTGGAGTGCTTGCCTAGCATGTGTGTGCAAGGTGCTGGGTTCGATCCTCAGCACCACATAAAAATAAATAAATAAAATAAAGGTATTGTGTCCAACTACAACTAAAAAAAATATTTTAAAAAATCAACAGAGGGGCTGGGGATGTGGCTCAAGCGGTAGCCCGCTCGCCTGGCATGCGTGCAGCCCGGGTTCGATCCTCAGCACCACATACAAAGATGCTGTGTCTGCTGAAAACTAAAAAATAAATATTAAAAATTCTCTCTCTCTCTCTCTAAAAAAAAATCAACAGAGGAATTAAAATGGCAGACTAAAAATATGTAACATAAAAGACGCCAGTAAAGGAAGAAGAGAACAGAAAGAAAATAAATAAAATGAAAATTTAATTTTCATATCAATAATTAAATGTAAATAGTCTAAAGGCTGGGGTTGTGGCTTAGGGGTAGAGTGCTCACCTAGCAAGTGTGAGGCCCTGGGTTTGATCCTCAGCTGCCACAGTCTGGCTGGGCACACAATCACGAGCCACCACACAGCTTGTAGATTCAAACAGCAACTCTTTATTCCCGAACTCACACCAGCCGTCTACAATCACGTTCTGGGGAAATCCACGTTCACTTCCCAAATCCACGTTCTCTGCCCAAATCCACCTCCACTGGGCTTCTATCTCCAAAATATATTGTCTGAATCCCGTGAGAACTCAAGGGGAACTCAGGCAGCAGGATACGCCCTACTCCCAGCAGGAATAATCTTAAACCTTAAACCTGGAACCTAAACTGGGAACGCCCTAAACACGATTATCTTAAAACCGGGAACACCCTAATCTGCCTTGGTCCTTGAGCAAGGTCACGTACATTCAATGTCACTGCAACATGGGGTACGCTGGCAAGGAAATTGTCATACCTACTTGGCTAATGGCTCCCAGCACTCAGCAACACATAAAAATAAATAAAGGTATTGTGCCCAATTACAACTAAAAAATAAATTAAAAAAAATAATTAAATGTAAATAGTCTAAATAGTCCACTCAAACCCAAGGTCTTGCACATGCACATTTTAGGCAAGCACTCTATCCCTCAGCTACATCTCCAGCTCTTTTTCAATTTATTTCGAGAAAGGGTCTCACTGAGTTGCCTAGGCTGATCTCAAAACTTCTGATCTTCCTGCCTCAGCCTTCAGAGTAGCTGGGATTACAGATGTGTGTTACTCCATCTGGCTTAACACCTCTTTTTTATTTATTTTTTTCTTGTTGGTACCAGGATTGAACCCACAGTGCTTAACCACTAAGCCACATCCCCAGCCTTATTTTTTGTTTTTATTTTGAGATGGGATCTTGCTAAGTTGCTTAGGACCTCACTAAATTGCTGGCTTTGAACTTGTGTTCCTCCTGCCTCAGCCTCCAGAGCTGCTGGGATTGCTGGGATTACAGGTGTGCGCCACAACACCCATCTTAATACCTCATTTTTAATTATCAATAGAACAACTAGTTGGAAAATCAGTTAACAGTCTATAATAATGTTATCAATCAATTCAAACCAACTGACTTTTAAAGACCAACAACTCTGATATATATGTTGATTTTTCAACAAGGAACATTCTCCATGATAGGACATATCGGGTCTCACCATATTTAAAAGAACTAAATTCATACTAAGTACGTTTTTTGAACACAATGGAATTTAATAAAAAATCCAGAATCAAAGGAAATCTTGGAAATCTCCAAATATCTGGAAATTGAACAACATGTATAAAGAACAAATTACAAGGGAAATTAGAAATTATTTTGAACTGACAAATGAAACTGAAGGAAGGCCCAACACCATTTTGTCACTCTGTCTCCATTTGCTTTTTTAACTGAGTCACCTTCCTCCATAGTTACCTTGGATTCCAGGAACAAAAGGTCTGGTTGATAAGCATCTTTATGACAAGGAAGTGAAACTACCTCCAAACATAGGTGATCCTTGAACAGATCACTCCAAGATGAGACTGCCTCCTAAGCACAAACATGACTAGACAAACTGAAGCTGGCCCCTAAGCAGAAGCAAACATGTCAGGATGGGAACCGAATCACCCCTCAAGTAATGATGAACTTCCCAGAATCCCCGAGATAAATGATAAATCAGATCACAGCCTGACTAGGAGGACTTATTCTGCTAGCTATGCAATCTCCCAGCCATGTAAGCCCCCAACGTTTTTCTTTGTTCTTCCCAATAAAATGTCAAAGTTTCTATTAGTCCCTTTAAGACAGATTTTTGGTCATTAGATCCCTATGTCTGTTCTTCCCAGCATGCCCACTAAAAGCTCCTCTCTTGCTTTTACCACTGCTCAGACTCTTTGATTGGCATACCATGACAGGTGTCCAGGCCTGGTTTGTTGGGACCACCAGACTAGGGACTTTGCCTAAGGACTCCAGTAATAAAAACATAATATACACTTATGGGATCTAGCTACAGCAATGTTCTGTAAAAACAAAAACAAAAACAAAACAAAAGCAGTTTCTCCTTCTATACTCCTGTAACACAATATGGCTTCTGTGTCGAAATGTATGGGAATTTCGCCCCAGACAAGCAATCATACACCAGCTGAGCCCTCTATTTCAAATCAATTCTGACACTCTCTACCTGGAGATGGTGTCAAATTGTAACAGTGGTCTACTTTACCTTTTAAATATAGCCCTTGCTGCTTAAAAGGACATGTTTTCCTTTTCCTCTTTTCCCTCTCCTCTCCCTAATCCGGGGGTGAGGAACAAGATTACCTTCAGTTATCTGTGCTTGAGCACACACCCACCACAGGAAGATGCAGGAAGTGACTATCTCTCAAAATAACAAAGGACAGGGTGCACTTGGGATGACCCCACCCCCCTCACCCCACCCTAGGGCACACTTCGAATACAGCCTTTTAAGAGATTTAAAAGCCCTCCGTTCCCCTATGAGCAGAATTTCAGCCTGTGGAACAGGAGTCCCCTGTGCTTCTTCTTTGCTAGTAAAGCAATGAACCATCTTTTTCCTTTTTTTCAAAACTGTGTCATTATTGGATTGGCCTTGGGGACAAGGACTGAGCTTTTGGTAACAATATCTCACAGAAAATTGAAGGCTCAGTACTACTACAGAATGCCCCCCCCTTCTGATTCCTATTTATCACAAGCTCCAGGTTGTTTTACCAGTGCTTTGGACTACAAATTGGGGTTCCTACAAACCCCTTCCTCAGATTTGATTAATTTGCTCAGGTAGCTCACAAAACACTCACTGTTTACTGGTGAATTATAAGGGATATTTTAAAGGATCCAAATAAACAGGCAGATAAGACATACAGGGAGCCTAAAAGGATCTTAAGCACCAGAGCTTCCATTTCTGTGGAGTTGGGTGTGCCATCCTCTGGCATGTGGATGTGCTCTGGTTCACCTTCCTGTATGCCCTTGAACTCAGTCTTTTTGGTTTTTTATGGAGGCTTCATTATGTAGGCATGATTAATTTATATCACTGGCCAACTTTCAGCCTCTCTCCCCTCCTGGGGGATGGCAGGGGCTGTGAGTTCTAACCCTCTGAGTATATGGCTGGTTCACCTAGCAATTAGTCCTTTAACCTGTGGTTATCAAGGGACTCTCCAAAAATCACCTTATTAACATAAACTCAGATGTAGTTGAAATAAATAAAAGAGTATTTTTCACCTCTATAGCTCTGGAGCTATTTTAGGAAACAAGGACAAAAGGACAAATATTTTGACAAAGACAGTTCTTATTCCTTTAGTCACTTAGGAAATTACAAGGGTCAATGGAGCTGTGAAGGAACCATAAATGAAAACCATAAGTGCTTAAGAGGGGAATTTATCATTTTACACATCTATACCAGAAAAGAAAGGTCTCAAATTAGCAACAAACTTTCACCTTAGAAACTAGAAAAGATCAACAAATCTTGCAAACCTTACCTACATTTACAAAGACAATGATCAAAAAAAAACCCCTCACAAAAGCTGGGGGTGCTCAAGGGCAGGCCCTGGGTTCATTCCTTAGGAGCGCGCGCGCGCGCACACACACACACACACACACACAAAGACATAAATATTAAAGCCAGGAACAAAAATGGGCATGTTACTAACAACTCTGCAGAAATTTAAGGGATTGTTAGTGAATAATATGAACAATTTTTCCAATATATCAGACAACTTAGATTTTTAGATAGTTGCAGAAATGACTCAAGAAGAAATTTAAAAATCTGAATACAATCATTTTTCAGTATTCAGAAGACTGGTTTCAAAACCTGCCCCTCTCCACCAAAATTCAAACCAGGAACTGCAGATGTGAATACCAAAATCTTCAGATGTTCAAGTCCCTTTTATAAAATGACATAGTGGAACTATACCATTGCCCTTTGCTCCTCATGAAGGAGGACATAGTCCTTATTTTAATTGACTCCATCTTTTTTTTTTATGTTTATCCAAAACGAAAACAGATTTATTAATTCCTGTGAAAAACAATATATTACAACCAGATCACCCACTTTATTGATATGAAATATATTCATTAGGAAACTTGGCACTGATTTCACCTGCTCAAATGCACCATCTGGGCACATCTGAAATGCTGGCAGGTAGGCAAGCAGGCCATAGAGGGCCTGTGGGCTAGAATTTTCAGCACTATCAGAGGGGACTTAGAGAAGGGTACGGCAGCCCACTGACTCCATCTTGTCCCTCCAACCTGTTCTCACTTTTTAAGTTATCTCTCCTTTCCAGTGGTCTGCAGGCTGGAATAGAAACTAACTCCCCCAACCCCAAGCAGTAACAATTTCCCTAGCTTCCCTGATGCCAGCTGATCTACCAGACCACAGTCTGAGTATACAGCACACCCCCACTGGACCTGCTTTTGTCCTTGCCCCGTATAATCCTGGAGCAATTGTCATTATGGGGAATATAGCTTTCACCATCTTCCCAATATGGCCCATACTGAATTAAACTCTTTTCATACTTCACCACTTTTCTCTCTTTGAAGTAGTAGGTGGCCTAATTTGGTCCATAGGGACCCCCAGGGTCAGGTCCCTGGCAGAGGTCTGGGTAACAGCTGTATCTACATAGAACCGAAACATATTCTCCTATATATTTTAAATCATTCCTAGATTACTTATAATACCTAATACAATGTAAATACTAAGTAAACAGTTGTTATACTCTTATTTGTGGAATAAAGAAAAAAAGTCTGTGTGTTCAATACAGACACAATTACAAATTTTTTTTATAACTTTATTTATTTACTTTTTATGTGGTGCTGAGGATCGAACTCAGTGCCTCACCTGTGCTAGGTAAGCACCCTACCACTGAGCTATAGCCCCACCCCCTAGACACAATGTTTTTTTCCTAAATATTTTCCATTAGCAGTTGGTTGAATCTGCAGATATGGAACCTCCACATACAAAGGGCCAACTGTAAATTTAAGAAGTAAATTGAATAAATAATTAAATATCTTCTTTTAAAGAAAAGCCCAGGAAGCTTCACTGGTGACTTCTTTTTATTGCCTGCCCCCCATTACTAGGGAGTGAACCCAGGGCCTCACACATGCTAGACAAGCACTCTACCATGATCTACACCCCAGTCCTTATTTATTTATTATTAGGGATTAAACCCAAAGGCTACATTCCACTGAGCTACATTCCCAGCCCTTTTTATTTTGGGACAAGGTCTCACTAAGTTGCTGAGCCTGATCTCAAACTTGTGATCCTCCTGACTCAGTCTCCTCAGTTGCTGGGATTAC